CAGCACCGAGGTGCTTTAAACAATACAAACCTTTAAAAATCCATTCAGGATCAAAGCGGGTGTGTGACCTGGGCGGGAATCGAGACTGCTTTTCCCCCCAAAGCATCCCATACCCCTAAGATGCTGCATGTAAGGCTAGCATCCCCCCCACTGGGGTGGTTTTGGCACCCTTTATAGAATCATAAAGGTTGGAAAAGACCTCTAAGATCATCAAGTCCAACTGTCAAACCAATACCACCGTGACCAACAAACCGTGTCCCAAAGTGCCACATGGACACGTTGTTTGAACCCCTCCAGGGACGGTGGCTCCCCCCCTGCCCCGGGCAGCCTGTGCCAGTTTCACCGCTCTGCCAGAGCAGAACTTTCCCCTAATATCCAGCCTAAACCTGCCCTGGCACAACTGGAGCCCATCTCCTCTCATCCCATCGCTTGTTACTGGGCAGAAGAGACCGACCCCACCTCACTCCAACCCCCTGTCAGGGCGCTGCAGAGAGCGATGGGGTCTCCCCCAGCCTCCTCTTCTCCAGACTAAATAACCCCAGCTCCCTCAGCTGTTTCTCCTAAGATTTGTTCTCCAGACCACTCACCAGTTTTGTTGCCCGTCTCTGGACGCAATCATCGACTGGTTCCGGCTGTAATGGGTTGTCTTTGTGTCCGGCAGCCTCAGGTAGAGCCCAGCAGATGGTTTTAGCATGTTTCTTTCTATGCCTTTCATCTCCGTTGCTGATTTTTAAAATCTCTTACGTAATAAACTGCCCGTGAGTTGGTGCATTGCACTGAGGGTAAATCACTTAAATTGTTTCCCACGCTGTTTGGGATAACTGAGTTCATAGCCAGTATGAGAAGGTGTGAAATACTCTAGAACCTGAGCTCAAAAAAGAAGGAAAAACTGCTAAATATCTGCTGAAATGCTGCTCACGGATGGGTGTGTGTCACGATGAGGAATGCATTTACGTTTAACAGGATAGCTTTATTGGTGTGACATTAAGGAAACTCAGACCATCGAACAGTTCTCCATATGTTGCTGAAGAGAAATAAATAGTGGCTTCTACAGCCTTAGTGGTGCAAGGTTTGTTTACTACATCTTTACAGGTAGAGGAAAGTATAGACAAGTCAGGGGGTGGTCAAGTCAGGGTCTTGGCAGTGATGCTTTGTGTGGTCTAGTCGAGAGGTGACGTCACTGCCCATGACAGGGAGGTTGGACTAGATGATCTCTAAGGTCCCTTCCAGCCTGGGCCATTCTAGGATTCTAGGATTCTACGATTCTACGATTCTACGATTCTACGATTCTACGATTCTACGATTCTATGATCATAAAATGTAAGAACACGCTTCTGTCATGTGGAGAGCAGGGGCAGCAACGTTCACTTAACTGAAAGGATTTACTTCACCGGACGGAAACAAGCAATTGCAAGGAGATGTGGGCAGCCGTTGGTGTTAATATGGTGTTCACATAAACTCCACATTTTTTTTTCACGCATTCCCCTGATGTTTCCTCTCAACTGAAGGGTCCACACGGTCTGGAAATGCAGTCCCATTAACACACCTGACCAGATGAGAACAGAGTCTCAATATACAGTACACAAAATCCTGTTCCTGTAGCAATTGGTGTCCGAATCCTACTGCCTTCATTACAGCAGCAGGTCCAACACTCTTGAATGATCCTGTCTGGTGTTATTTGTGTTTCTTTTGAGCTAAAGGTGTTTTGTTTGAAGTTAAGAAGAACAGAAATTGGAGGATGAGGTTACACCTCTGCTGCCTTAAGAGCCCACAGCAGGCGTGCGTTTCTCCTGTGCCCTCCAGAGAGAAATGGTGTAGTGCTATTTAGACAGCAAGTCTGATTATCTCCTCGGTGTGGTGGAACAGGAACAGTAATATGTTTTGATGCCTCTTGAATGGCATGTGGTTGGTGTCTAGGTGATACACTGATACAAACTGAAGATGCACTGAGCCCCTGCTACCCTCAGACAGCAGCCTGAGATCTGCAGAAATGTAGAAGAACATCTAAGATAGCTCTCTAGAGAGTTATGGCAGGCGAAGCCTCAAGCGCCTCTTGAAAGAATTCCCCAAAAGCACTAGGGAAGAGACTGAGTCCGACAAAAACTGACGCTAGCCTTGCCAAAATCCTTCAGAGCATCCCTGTTAGGCTGCAGCAGGCGTGGAGTCACAGTCTTGCTCTTATTTCTTGGCAGGAAGGTTTGTTCGATCAAGGAGAAGATTGCTGGGGCAAGGCCCAGCATGGAGAGTGAACACCCTTAAATTGTGCCTTAACGTGGAGGACAAATACTACCGGTCGTGGTAAATTTAGCACAGAACTGCCACGATCTGTTAAGAGATGCAACACTAATCACAGGGCAGACCAGTTTTGTGCTGCTTGGCCGATCCAGGTTGCCTGGAGGGGCAAGGCAGGACCGTGTGTGAAGACCTCTTCATAGAGCGGTGGGATGTAAGTGGAGAGATGGAGGAAGGGGTCTGGGTTGTTCGCCTGAGCCCTCACACCAGACCTTGGAGGATGCCGGACGTAATGGATCAAAAGGTTTGGGGGCTGGAGCAAGCCCATGCAAACGGAGAAAGATGCTGAATTAAAAGGGAGGCTGGTAAGACTGGAAGAGCACTGATGTGGCACAGGAGTGCCCAGAGAAGGGGAGGTAGTGCGGGAGGATGAATCCAGCAAACATGACAATATCTCTAAGGCTGAGATTCTGGCTGGCAGAATCTTTCTGCAGTCATCCTTGAAGCCACAGGGGCCGGTGAGATGAAGGGGAGGTTTGTTGGGGCATGCTGCTCTGAGCTCCTTGCCAGCACTGTTTTAATGCCTGCTCTTTGGTCTCTCCTGCAGTGCTTCATTCAGAGAAGGAGTTCCATGATGCGGCAAAGCGTAATGACACAGCCAGGATGGAGCAGCTCATCAGCAGAGGGGTTGACATCAAAGCCAAAAACGATGTAAGTTGTGAGAGTTTTCCACCTCTAAGCTGCAGGAAGTGCTGAGGGTGTGTTTCAACACTGCAGCTCCTTAACTCTACTCCGCTCATTAGCTGCTTGACTGGTCAAAGCTTTAAAATACATCACACAGTGCTAAATAGGGCCCATGGCAACTGAGCAGTTTCACAACACCCTGAAACCCACAGCGCTGTCATCCTGGCCGGACTGGAAAGTTGCAACCGCTGATAGAGGGTGATAATTTATGGTTCCCCTTGTAGCCTGTGTGCCAGATACACATGGCTGCAATGAGAGGCTTTGATTTTGCTGTCTCTGTATGCCAAGGCTGTGTGACTAACTCGGTTCCTGGTGCAGGCCTCCCCTTGTTGACCATTAGGTACCTGGAAATACGGGATTGCTCCCATCCCTGCTGTTTCAATGTGTCCATCCATGGTCAGCGATGTTTCTCATTCTTGTGTTGCAGTCCAGAACTATGCTTTCTGAGTAGAACATGGCTAGCACTTGTCTGCCTGGCAAGAGAGCCAAAAGATAGAGGGCTATGTCCAAAGAAAACCCTGCACCGTGTGAGAAATCCTGTCTCTGTGGATGGCAAAGATTTCTGGGCTTCGGGAAGGCTGATGGAGACACGCTCTGCATACATTAGCCTTCCCTATCTCCGTCCTTCCCTTCCAGACAGACCGGACTGCCCTGCACTGGGCCGCGGGAGCAGGAAACGTGGATGCTGTGCGACTGCTCCTGGATCACGATGTCCCGGTGGATGACAAAGACAGTGTACAGAGGCGAATCTCCCTTGCATGTCCTGCAGATGTGGACTGTGCTGGGGAGCGGTGGGAATGGGCTGCTGGGCTGGCAATTACAGCCCCCACCTTCACCTTGCAGGGCTTGGGAAGCTGTGGCCTCGCTCCCTGTCTTTTGGCCTTTTCCTCGCACGCACAGTGACTGGGAAGTAGGCTGGTAGTATCTGTGAGGTTTTCTCTACAGCATGGGGATGCTTGGCTGCTTCTGGTTGCATTGTTGGGGCTTGTGGGAAGACAGTGAGAGCCAGCAAGTTCTTTCTCCCCCGTAACAACCAGGCTAACCTGGACCATTTACTAGGAAGTGGTAGTCAAGAGGCAGGTCTCTGCTCAGCTGCTGCAACGGGCTGTGACAGAAGTAATAGTATCTGGAGAAAGTGGGGCTGAAAAAACCCAGAGATAAAAGTATTTAGGAAACATCCTGAAGCAAGAGGAACAGCTTCCCCTCAGGGTAGGGATGGTGGTGGCTGCAGTTTTGCTCTAAGTATCTCTCTCCTCTTCTGCCCAGTTTGGGATGAATGCACTTCTCCTGTCTGCCTGGTTCGGCCACCTCCGCGTCCTGCAGATCCTCGTCAATGCTGGTGCCAAGATTAGCTGTGTTGACAAGGTGAGAGGGTCTCCCTACATGGGTCCTTAACGTGTCACCAGCGGGGAGAGATAGGCTCACCTGTGAGCTACAATAATCATGGGTGACAGCATCCACTGCAGGGCTGCCACTTGCACTTCTGCCTTATTCCGAAAGCAGGTTGCAATAATTTTAGCTATAGAGATGTACACGGCGTTCTCAGCTCACATTTGTGCAGTAGTGATGGGGAAGGTGTTACGGAAGTAGGAAATGGCTTTGGGGAATCAGCAGTCCATAGATCTTGGTTGGGAAAAGGAGCTTTAATGCTTCAGCCATAGCTTGCTGTCTGCAGCACAAGCTACTTTAGAGCTGCAGGGAGGTACAGAATGGGTCTTTGCTAACAGGAACAGGTTGTTAAAAGAGACTGTCCCTCAGTCTGGGACTTGTTAAATGAGCAGTCCTTTATCTCTTCTCCAGAACGGCAGGAACCTGCTCCATTGCGCAGCTCAGAGGGGACACGTCCGAGTGATGGAGTTTGTCATGGAGGACCTGGAGGACATGTGCGTGGATAAAACAGACAAGGTAGGAGGGCTTTTCAATGCTTTTTTTTCACATCTGATCTTGCTCCCCTTGGTCTTGGGAAGAGACTCAGAGCGAGAAGCCCTCCTGCGGAGTGGGGCTTAGGGCTGAAGGAGATTCTGACTCTGGTCAGCCTTTGGCAGTCGGGGCTTCCCAGTGTAGCCTTTTGCAGAATAAACTCAGGAATTTCAGTGTCCCCTTCTCTTGCAGCTGATGCTTCAGAGTGTATTGTAGGTAGGTAATAACCAAGGGTAACCCTTGCTCAGCACATTCCAGCATTAGCTGATCCACACAGCAGTGAGCACACACTCTTTTCCACTTCCTGGCTTTCGTGGTTCCAAGAGTGATCCCCACTCTGATTCTTGGGACTTAAATGAGGCAACGAGAGATCTGCCTTTCCCCAAAAGGGGTTTTGACTCACTCAATAACTGGAGTCTCAGATATTAATTCCAATTTTTATTCTTAGTTCCTTTTATTCGTTATCCTCTATATGAAATAAACACTCAAAAGATACCTCTTCCAGTGTTTGGTGAGACTGAAGTGCTTGGAGTTGTTTGCCCCAGCGGATAGTTCTGCTCACGTTGTTTTGTTAGGGTCATCCCAAAAGTGAAGCAGCGTAAAAGTTAACAGCAGAATGAAAGTTAACCGCAGAATAAAAGATAGCTAATTTTGAAGTGCAGCACCTTTTCCCCCTGTGGGCGAGGTTATTGCCCAAGGCATTATTCTACTGCTTGCAGCAGATGATCTAATCTTGTGCTTCCTGAGCCTTTCTTGGACTGTATTTCTTTGTTTCCTTTCAAAGATGGACAGGACAGCGTTTCACCTGGCTGCAGAGCACGGACAGCTGGAGGTGGTGGAATTCCTAATTCGACTGGGTTGTTCTCACGGTGCCAAAGACAAGGTATGGGCATAAAACTATATGCAGTGGAGGTAAAGTCCAAGGATTAGAGGGTGTGAAAGCCGGGGAAGAAGGTGCCAGATGAGGCTTATGCAGGCAAATTGTCAGCAGCTGTAACTATTGTTGTGGTGTCTCAGGGTTTTCCTTCCCTATCCGCTTGCAAGGCTCAGTCCATGCTGGATTTCTGTCCAGGACTTTTCAGACAGGATGTCAGCAAGCCTGGTGGACCATGCTCCGGTTTACGGTAGCTGAGTTTCTTGCCTCCCTGCTACACTGATTAGAAGACTGTTTTCAGACTGGCTACAAGCTCCTTTTCAGTCATGCTGACTGTACTCTGTGCAAGGTTGCGGTGTATGAACGCTCAGCCCGGTGATACATGTATGTGTGTGTCACGTGAAAGGTATGTGGCTGTGAGAGGCAAGTGGTGTTTACTTGCAGGAAGAAAATACAGCATTGCATTTAGCTGCTAAAAATGGACACCTTTCCGTGCTGCAGAAGATTGTAGATGCTGGAGTGGACCTTGATGAAAAGAACTCAGTGAGTACTTTTAAATGAAATAAAACCCACATCAGTTCCGCCCTTTCCCTCTCTAGAAATACTCTCCTGCCCCTGTCATCAGGCTGAATAGTCAGTATTGACAGGAGAGGTCTAGAAGAAAGCTGATTTTATCTTAAGCTTACGGTGTGTAAATGCAGATCACGCTTGCAGAGTATCAGTGAAAGGCAACATCCTTCTTAGACCAATATCCAACTCTAAAGTGTTGCCTTTTCTTCCTGCTGTATCTGCTGTCCTGTCTTATCACCCCATTTAATCTTCCTTTTTCACCCTGACCCTTGTACATTCAAGTGCCTAAATGGTTATTGAGTGTATTTTAAACTAAATTTCACTGTGCTTTATAGTATTGACTTAGTCACTGAACATATGGCCCTTCTGTTTGAGATCTATCTTTGACAGACACGCTTTGGAAAATGATGTGGCTGGAACACAGTTAATGATTTAGATAGCAAATATTGGCTTAGTAACACTGTTATTTATTCCAGGGCACGCTCCCAATTAGGTTTAGCAGCAATTTTTTTAGTCTTATTTGGCTGCTGTCTGAAAAGCATATTTGATTGTGATTAAGATCTGAAAGAAAAGGGAAGCCACCTCCTATGGTAACTGGTAGGTAGCATTTGTCTTCCCCTAGATGAGCTGCCCTTTGTGCAAAGAGCAATAATAAAGCCAGATTAAATCATTTAGGAATTCTGCCTGTTTCTTTTTTCTTGTGAAGAAATGAGCTGCAGCCCTCAGAAGGGAGAACTAGTGGTTGCTGGCCACAGGTTTCCAGTTCTTCCTGTGGCTCTCCCTGGGCTGCTCCAGGAAAATGATTTGTCTTCATTGTCCACATGAAATCTTTTTTTTTTCCCTCACGGGCCAAAGGGGAGAGAAGGTGGTGAACGTGGTGTCTGTCCTGTGGCCATGAGCCAGCTGCTTCAGTGACACAAGGACAGAGCAGTACTCTGATGTGTTGGTGGCAGTGTTATTTTCCTAACAATTGATTGGAGACGCCCTGGCGTCATGTTAAAATTTGCGTTTTAACATGACACGGATTCAGAAGATTGAGTAGAAGCTTGCTCATTCCGCTGCTCTGCCTTGGCCTTGTCTAGAGAAATGCTGTTTGTCCCCTTTTTTGCCTTGCCCAGGAAGGACTCACGGCTCTGCACCTGGCTGCTGAGGGGGGTCACAGCGACTGTGTGAAGCTGCTCTTGGAAGCAGGTGCTGACGTCAATGCCCAAACCCAGGTGAGCTCCGTGGAGGTGATTTTGTTTCCACACACCACTTTGTGGAGTTTTGCTCAGACCTGTGGCCTCCTGGGGAGGGCACCTGTGGTCTGGTGAGGCCGTGTGGAGCCCAGTGCTTCAGAAGTAGCGAAGTCAAGAGGAAAGCATGTACTTTTTAACTTTGTACCAAAAGGCTGAAGCTGCCCTGGGACTGGTTTGGCCGTGGAGACAATCTCTGCGAATGGGGGCACGGGGCTCTTGCAGGAGGGAAGATCTCTGTGAACGGTCTGAGAAAAAACCCTGACTAATACCCATCTCTTCTGATGCGCCTCTCAGAAGAAGATGAGCTGCCTACATTACGCGGCGCTGCACGGCTACGAGGAGATCGCCAGGATCCTCATAGATGCAGGAATCCACAGAGACGCCGTTAATCACGTAAGTCCCTCTCAGTGCTCTTGTCCCGTACAAAAAGGCAAAGCCGGTTTGTGGAGCTGTTCAAGACTTCTAACCGTCTCTGCAAGGACTGGTCCTGCTGTTGCTTATGGGGCAGGATTCCCAGTCTGCCCCCAGCCCAGGCTGGCAGCTATCGTAGAATGAGACATGCTGGGCACAGCGTGGTCCTTTCAGGGCCGTGAGCTAATCTCTTCCTAAGCACAGTGTCTGCTTTCCACAGCAAAACGCATCGGCCACACACATCGCGGTGCTGCAGAACTTCCCAGCCATAGTGAAGCTCTTCATCGATGCGGAGTGTGACCTTGACCTTCCAGATAACGTAAGGCTGCAGCTCCTGTTCTTTGTCTTTGAAACGTGAACCAGTTTTGGGGGGAGTTTGGTCACGTTGGGGACAGAATTAAAGAGGAGTGCTTTAAAACAGGGAAAACCTGGAAGCGCTGACTTAGGAAATGTGAATCCTGGGAAGTGATTCTGAGTGTTGCAGGGAGGTCATCGCTTGATGGCTTTCCACATGTGGTCTGTGCCGTGTCCCTGGCACCTGTGCACAGCAACATCGCATGGTCAGCCTCTCTCTTCTCCTTGCTGGGAGAAATTTCAGGCAAGAAGATATTCTCCAAACTATTTAGGGGGGCGGAGAAAGGGAGGCAAGCCTGGAGGTAGCTGTTTGTCTCCCCAAAATGTAATTTTGTGAACGAGGGGCTTTGTGTAGCTTGTTTATAATGTTTCAGTTAATGTTGATTCTTGCAGTAATGTTTTCTCCTGATGACACCCTAAAATTGCTACATTTTGTGTTTGATTTTAGTTGTTTCCATCCAGCAGTCCCAAGGTGCATAGTGTGTCCCAGGGACACAGAACTGGCACAGGTCCTTTCCTCCTTGGCCAAACTATCTGCCTACAGAAATTGTTTAAATAACAGGAAGCAATATAGTTCTGCAAGTGACCCTAGGAAGCTTTATGGAACTGAAGAGGTTCCTTCTTTTGACTGAAATGTTGTCAGGGAGGCTTCCTTGTGACGGAAACCAACGCCAGTTTGAGGTAGGAGGGTATTTACCCCTCAGTTTAAAAAGAGAGAGAAAGGAAAGGAGGGTAGAGCTCAGGGTGTTCTTACAGCACTTCCTCCTGGTTTTGTTCTGTCCTGTCCTTCCAGCCTCACATGTGTCCCTCCCTGATATTTCGTCCTTTCACCCTCGTTCTGCAGAGGCAGCAGACCTCGCTCCACATCGCTGCGGAGCACGGCTGGCAGGACATTGCCGAGATGATTCTCATTGAAGGAGTTAATCTGAAGCTAACGGACAAGGTAAACTTCTCCAGGGGTTGAACAGATTCTGTGAGAGTATGGAAGGAAAATACAGGTGGTCTTCACCATGGTTCTTCATGATTTTCGAGGAGAGCTAGTAGTAGTATTAAAATCTACGTATTTCCAAGGCTAAGGCCTTGAAACACTGCCAAGCAGGTTATTTTGATGTGTTTTTCAGCAAAGAAGTGACTGGTTCCTAGGAAGGGAGAAAACAGTTCATACGATGAGAAATATTCTTCTTCTTGAAGTTATTCAAGTACCTTCTACTTCTGCTTCTGGTATCATGCACATTAATATTAAACTCAAATAATGATAGATAACACACCTCAAGAGTTAACAGTAAACATGTTTTAATAAGTTAGAATTATCCAGTTGGTATAGATCTGGCAGCGGTGTCCAGGTCTTTCACTCTCTAACAGTAGGAATTCTAGAGGAATCATGGAAGTTGCATGCAGCCTGCAGGTGTGATATGTGCCCAGAAAATGCCGAAGGGGGCTTGGGCAGAGATTAAAATAGTGCCTGCCCTTTGCAGTGGGTTAAAGCACGAGACTCGAAGGCACCTGGCCGAAACGGCCTTCAGCTGCAGGGAATGTTTGCCACCTTCCAGCAGTCTTTGGAACAGCAGGGAATACATTCACACTTTTCTGCGTGAAATTTGGTTTCTGCTCACATCTGAGGCTAAAACCGTTCTCCCTGGCATGCCTGATGGCTGGGTTCGCTCACTTTCCTTTGTGCAACTTTCAAATCTCGTTTCTTTCTGCTACTGCATATAAAACCAAACACACACACACTCCCCTGCCCAATCCACAATCATGTTCGTGTCAGGAGCACAGCTACATTTTCGTAGTCCCATGGGCCTGTGCTCTTCCTAGGTAGTCATGGCTGTGTGAACCCTGTAAGGTTAATGAAGTTGGATAAATCACTGCAGTTTCATGTCTCAGCAAACCTGCTGTGCAAGAAGCTGTACAATGCCTTGGCTTGTGGTGTTGAGCTGGTCCTTTCACATCCGCACCGATGTTGCTGGGAGCCTGCAAGTGTCCTCCCATCCCCTGTGGGCTACCGCCTGCGTTCCAACCCTTCCTGCCACATGGGAAGATCCTGTGTCAACAGAGGAGGTGCTGCAGGGCCTAAAAATCGACTTCCATGCCTTGCCTGCAGTAGCTTCAAGTTAGCTCACATCTGAGGTGTTTACAGGTGGAGAACAGGGCTCCTTCATCCCGGCTGGGTGCTTTGCTCCATAGGCCACGGTGCCTGCTCCTACAGGCTGCTGGGTGGGCACAGCAGTAGGATCTCCTAAGGCTGCAAGGTCTTTTCCAGTTCATTTTTCCCCTTTTCGTTTCAGCAAGGGAAAACATCTCTTGATGTCGCCGCCCGAGGCAATCACATCAACTTGGCGGACATGATTATCAAAGCCGATCGGTTTTACAAATGGGAAAAGGTGAGCAGCTTACACCACCATCCCCTGTGCCTTCCAGGGCAGATACAGCTTTATTCTTTCCATCAAGACTCCACAGTACCAGCTGTCAAAAGGAAAAGAAATACAGAGCATCCTGTGACAGCCTGACCTCTACTTTCATCACCTTACTTAAGAAAAACACAAGTCCTCACCATGCCAACAACACCTCCTTAGGCTTTCCTTTTTTTAAAAAAGCCTCTGTTAAAAACCCCAGGCTGCGCCAAAGGGAACAGGGGTACCCAAAGCCCCGTGGAAGACAGTAGCATTAGTTCCTTTTCCCAGGAGGAGAAACTGAAACGCTGTGCAAGAAAATGCTTGGCCCAAGGTCACCAAATAGGATGTAGGGAGTTTTTCAACAGCGGAAGGGAGATACCTCTTGCGAGCAGATTGATCGGTTCTCCTTGGAATCATACAACCAACTTCCCTCTCAAACCTCCCCACAGCTGGGGCCATTCTTCCTGTGTTTCCCAGCGTGGCCCAGCAGTCTCTTTCCTCCCACAGCCCCATGTACAAGGTACGGTTGCTTGGCCCAGGTCCCCCACATCTGAAACCCTGCCTGTCCCAAGCCTGTGCCCAAACCAATTGGAGCAGAGGGAGTGTGGAAAGTTAGTACCAAACTCCACATCCCCATCCCTTATATTTTAGTAAGACTTTGAGCATCCCCCTGTAACCAGGAAAGACAGTGGTCTAGCACAGAAAGAAAATGAGGGAAGAAGGGCATGTTCCTGTGACTCAAGCACAACTTCAGGAGTAATGAAGTGTATTAGGCCCTTGCATGAGCTTCCCACACAGCCCTAGGGAAAATCCTGCAGCCTGGCACGGGAAGGGGGCCGAGCAGCTGAAGCTGTGTTGCAGGGGACCAAGGAGATTTAATGAAATGATTCTGCTTACAAGCCCCAGATAAAAGGCACTGTAGACATGCAAATTGCGATCCGCATGGGCTCCTGCAAGAGAGCTGCTGTTAACAGTGTTTGTTCACATGCATGATTAGAACAGAGGGAAACATGAGAATTTAAAAAAAAAAAGTGCTGTGCCATAAGGAGCTCCCAGCGATCTGCAGAGCAGAGGATGTGGGAGGCTGCAGAACAGTGGGTACAGCTGCAGCGCCCCAACCGAACCCCCTGTTCTGGCTTTGCAGGACAACCTGAACAGCGACTCTGACTCCTGGGTGGCAAAGCACTTGACCTTTAAGCAAGACCACAGGCTGGAAACACAGCACATTCGCTCAGTAATGTGGAGATTAGCCACAAAGTACCTCAAACCTGGTGAATGGAAGAAGCTGGCACATCACTGGAAGTTCACCGACGCCCACATTAGGGCCATTGAGCACCAGTGGACAGGTATAAAGCACTGCCCGGGTATTCTCCTTCCTTCACTTGGGTTGTGTTTCTAGGAGATAAGCCTACAGTAATAACAAAGCATGAAGAGAACCACATTAGGTTAAAAATCCTGCATTTAATGAATGTGGAGGGACCAACACGCTGGAATTTGTCTAGGAGTAAAGGTCACAAGTGTGGCACTTCGTGGTTCACTGCTCACTGCTTCTGAGGCACTTGCCAGACCTGTGAGTTCTTGCTGCAGCTCCTGTTCGGTAAGACAGAAGAAACTCGTTGAGTTTATTTCTTTAAAGGAGCTGAAGCAAGAAGGCAGTGAAGCCCCATTTAGAATTTCTGAAAGCAGAAATTCTGTATTGCCATGAAAGGTTGTCTGACAAGCCCAAGCTCATCCGTGACCACTCCACTAAGTTTCACACGAATCCAGCAACCACCCCACAACCAGGAATTAAGCTCAACTGTACTTAGAGCCTCCTAGTAAAATCCAAAGAGGAGGGAGGGCTCTCCAAACCCACCGGTTGAGAAACGGGCTTTGTCAAGGCCCTGCCCCTGTGAGGTGCAGGATTGCAGTTGTGGTTTGATCTCGCCAGGCACAAAAAGCTACAGGGAGCACGGCCACAGAATGTTGCTTATCTGGCTCCATGGTGTGATCACAGCAGGAGAAAATCCAATCAAGGGATTGTATGAAGGCCTCGTGGGAATCGGAAGAAGAGATTTAGCAGGTAATACTTCTGTCTTCCTTCCAATAACGCACAGCGAGCACTCCCCAAATTCCGTAGTTAACACAAGAGAAGCTAAGCCAATTCCCACGAGCTGGAAGCGACCCTGCCCTGCCCCCTTGCTACCATTACACGCCATTTCTTTCTTTTCCTTTCATTCTGATAAACTAACACGTCCTGCTGACTTTATACTTCCTGCACAGCGGAATGTTCTCTCCTCTTTTACAGAAAGCATTCGGAAAAAAGCAAACGCAGACTCTGCCTCTCCACGGAAGTGTGTCGCCATGTAATGGCAGGAGGGCACCGGTGGCTCCTGCAGCCTCCTGCGGCCTCAGCGTGTCTTACGGCTACAGGAGAAACCCTGGCTCCGATCAGAAGGCAGCTGCAGTTCAGGGGCTTCTTGTCATCAACAGCTGGCATCACTGCCGCTTCATTCTTGGCCTGAAACGAGAAGTGCATCAGCAAATTTTAAAACGCCTCTTTTCTGTTGGTGGATTTTCCACTATTGCATACGGTCTGGGTGCTGTAACGAGTTCAGCGAGCGAGACCCACGGGTCACACTGGGAGGCAATGCCACTGTTTTACTGTGACTTGTTTACACCGTGTTTTTGTATGTACGTCTGTATGTTTTTGTATGTAAGTTATTGAGTGGGAAAGCCTTTGTTTTCAGAAACATTCTTACCTTGTTCCTTAGACGTGTTCATAACTTCGCTGCTGGGGGGGAATTCAGGAAGAAAAGTCAAGGCCAGCACTTGGATCCTTTTGGAATCTTGAGGGTTGTGATTGTCAACGTTTGAACTCTTCATAAAACGTTTCAGAGAAGAATATTGATGTATACTGCTGATAGATCTATAGTAACACACATGTACAGTTTATAAATCAAATATGTGACTTCTTTAATCCCTAGGTTACAGCCTGAGAAGTATAAGATAAGAACGGTCACTGGTTATTTACAGAGCCTGACGAGCACATACAGTTTTCTTAAATAACAATTTGCCACGTAATACTTCACATTTATTTTGTATGGTGTTTCCAGGGGAAATAATGTCGGCATTTCAGTAAATCCAGATGCTACCCTTCAATTTGCGTAATTCTTAGAGCTAAACCAGTGCAACCTTATAATTAAAGCTAGAGGTGAATTCAAGCAGAAGGTGCTGGTTTTCTTAAGTCCTAGAGGTGGCTGTTGAGCCGAACAAGGAGTGCGGTGAGCTACGCTGCTCTTCTCTTGTAGTCAAAACAAGAGATGCTTGCCAAAATGTAAGTTTTATTTAAAACCATTTTTAAACAGCAAGAAAGTTAAAAATTCAAACACTTTATTTCAAATAGAAACTAACTTACAAGACACGAAGCAAATAAGTGATAGCAACATTGGCACTTAAACATCTTTTAAACTAAATATTCAACAAAAATATATGTCAGCTTATAAGTACACGATCTGCACGTGGCAATATATACAGCCGAGTGAAAAATATAAAAGGAAATATTGTTCTGCTTAAGAACATGACAGTGAAGACTTTGGTAGCAAAAAACGTCTTTCTTTGTAAAACTGGAGTCTTCAAAGATGCTTCCTTGAATTTGAAGACTAAAAATTAACCAGATCTATCCCATCATACTGCTGGAGCCCACAGGTAGTTCACTGACTCCTGATCCTGTTGGAATCACACAGTGATAATCGGCTAACGCAAGGGGAAAAGGCAGAGTGGGAACAGTTGATTGTGCACAGGAAGACCACCGAACCGATGCCTTGTTTTCACCGGCACTCCAAAACCTACTGCTCTTCCTGCTCATTGCTGGTGTGGAGACTGATCTTTTGGACTTCCAGCTCTTCCGCGCTGACCATGGATGGATCAATGGCTGCGTACCGGGTGCCATGGAACTGCAGCAAGTGGATCTGTTGGACACGGAAAACAACACTGAAACATCTACCAAAACCTTATGCTTCTACAAAAGGAGCACTCCTTCCGAGGGATGTTTGTGAGGATGAAATCACGGCTCTGGAGCACAAGAGTTCAGAGAGAGGACAGAGGAAACAGGCAACAGCCAAGACCCTAAGGCCAGCCCTCCGCGAATGTGGCTGCTCCTTCAGTATCGGCGATCTGGGAGGTGGAACCAACAGAGCTCAGGCATAGTAAGTAACAAAAACAAGCATAGAAAAGTAATTTCCTGCTGCTGCTCTGGCCACACGTGTTAGTAGGCTGGGTCTGAAAGCAGAGACTCACTTGAATATATAGGTTGACCTCAGCACTCCTGCAGAGATAGGGGAAGTTGCCTCCTGTTTTGAGGTGAGCTCTTCGGGCATTAGGATAAAGCTTATACATTTCTTCTTTTGCTTCAGTGGAAAGTGCGCTTTGGTCAAACACCTGTGGAGCAAGTTGCAGCCATTAGTTCTGAACCTCATCAGATCTTGCTTATTAAAATCAGACTGGATATATGCTGCTCCTAGAGGCAGTTCTCAGCTGCTCTGTGAAACAGCATTAAATGAAACGGAAAACAAGTGAACACATCAGGCATCGACAGCAAGAAAGCTAACGCTACTGTATGTGAGCACAAAGCTGTTATTGCACAGAATATCCAATTCATAACTTAACACAAGAGAGTCACAGCTTTGCCAAGTCAGTAGAAGGTTTCTCTAAATACGAAGTTAGAGGCTGCAAATATTTAAGTTACTAACAGAATAACCAGGCACCATCTGCCAAGGGGAGGTTTAAATTAAAGGATTATGTCGAGATTAACTTACATCCATAATGGTTACAGGGATGTCTCGGATTTTATGAGGTTCTACGTAGGAGTTCTGGCAGTTGAGGGTAAGTCTCGAAGCGAGCTCACTCTGACACAGACTCTCCAGCTTTCAGTAGAGAGAAACAGAGGTTAACAACGCATTTCACTACAGGAAGTTAATGAAACAATGACAACACAGCCAAAGAGAAGTTAGTTTTAAAGGGAAACACTGCACTTCAGGCGATTCTAATTCCTACTTTGTATTACTCTGCATGAGACAAACGCTTAAAATCCGTTGCATTGGTTGCTCCTGCCTCCCGAGCATGGCCCGCAGACACATCCCACCACTCTCTCCTCACCCACCTCAGCTTCTTAACTTCCTCTTTCCTGATCTACATAAACAGACAGAACTGGGACGCAGACGGTCACAGCAGCTGTTAAATTGCTGGGGCTGTGACAGCCAGCACCTGCTAAGGATCTGCTCCTTACTCCTCCCTTCTGGGTAAGTAACCCAAGAAAGCAGCAGAAATACCTACAACTCGCTCAGTAAATCTTTTACGGAGATTGTCGTCACACGGCTACTTACCCTGTCCACCATGAAATCGATCCCATCGGCCATTTCAGGATCAAGAGGACCAGAAGCAAAATTCCCAAGGACAATTTTTTTCAGCATAAAAGCAGGCATCAGCCAAAAGCTAAAATGGAAACAAGATGTAACGATCATCAAGAACCCAGGACACCAACATTAAGATGCTTTGCTGTAAGCACTCCCCTTTCCTTGCACTGACTTTGGGCTTCAAATGAAATCCTAAAGAACCACACATCCACAGAGGATCGCAGGATGACTCGTCTGTCAAACTTCACACTCCCAGTTGTGAAAATTTCAATTTTCCTCATGGTGTGGCTTTAAAAGTCGCAAGTATCCTCCACCTCCCTCACCCATCCTGGAAACAGGTTAGAAACACACCCCACCAAATCAATGTCACGTTTCACTGCAAAAGGGAACGCTGCAAGTCTGATGGCTTGTCTCAGCCTACCCTACCTGTTTGCTGTCCATGTCTGATTGAAGATAGAAGTGTCACTAAAGGAATTACACAGGATCAGAGACTGAACTCTGGGAGATTTGTGTGTGTATTCAGCAAATTTTTGAGCCAGAAAGCCTCCCAAAGAAGCTCCAAAAAGGTGAACCTAATTCAAGGAAGAAAAAACCCAATAACATCAGACTTGTGAAATAAATGACCTCTAAGCACAGTATTTCATTATGAAAATACATCATTCAAGTATTACCCTGTCCTCATCATTGATTTTTTTAAGAATCCGACTCTTCTATTCACCTTCTGATCTTGTGCAATATAAATGTGATAAATACTGAAAAATAGGAAGTGTTTCCAGGTAACAGATCAAACTTCTGTTTTAAGAAAAAAAAATCTAAATATTTCATTTTGTCTTCAATAGCTATTTGAATGCTTATTAATGTTTATAAATAGGGAAAGGGTGAGTGTCAGGAGGCAGAGCCAGGCTCTTCTCAGGGATGTCCAATGACAGGACAAGGGGCAACGGGTGCAAGGTGGAGCACAGGAGGTTCCACAATAACATCAGGAAAAACTTTTTCCTTGTGAGGGTGCCGGAGCCCTGGCACAGGCTGCCCAGGGAGGGTGTGGAGTCTCTTTCTCTGGAGACATTCAAACCCCACCTGGACACGTTCCTGTGTGACCAACTCTGGGTGATCCTGCTCTAACAGGGGGGTTGGACTGGATGATCTTTCGAGGTTCCTTCCAACTCCTAACATTCTGCGATTCTGTGAATCCAAGATACTTTATTGTGGCATTCTGTACTACTGGATTTAGGCAGGTTAACTTCCACAGGATCTCACGAAAAACTAGTTAACAAATATAATTTAATGGGCCTAGAAGAAGAGTTGAATTTAGGCCAAGTATGACAATTTTCAAGGGCATTCACCTTCAAAAATAAATAGGTTTCAAAAGTAAAATTGTGACATAGCCTCTATTTATAGGCTACCTTTTTGTGTCATATTTTTACACTTGCTCTTAAATGAGCCTCTTTCAAACACCAGGTTTTTATTGTAACTCTCTATCCATTTCCCCATCGCAGAGCACTCACTTTATCCAGCTGAAGGTGGTCGAGCAGTTTTCTGAATCCATCACAGAACTCAAGGTGATCCCAGTACACCGGATACTGCAACTAAAATAATACAAAAGTTAGAAAAAGCCGGGTCTGATCAGTACCTGCCAGCTGTCCACTTGAAAGTCATACCAACCCTCACATTAAAGGTTTTGAGACAGTGACCGGCCTCCCCTGGGTCAGGAGGCTCCTCAGTAAGGTCCCTACAGCCCGATGGTTTGAACACCTCCCCCTCGCTTGGGCAAAAATACAGAACTGAAAGCACCGATGAGTAAGTTTGTTGGAGAAAGTGCAGCGTTGCTTCACTCTGTAATCAAGGGCAGGAGAAGCTGGAATGATTTGCCTGCAATTTCATAGCACGTGAAGTTGGCAGGTAGAGAAATCATCGACTGCTGCTAGAGAAACAGCAGTACTCTCAAAGCCATATGGT